TTGCTTTCATTTCCCCCCCCCCCCAACGTTTTTAAATGCTGGCCAAAGTCAAATTGAGATTATTTAAAAAGAAATTTATGGAGATAGGACAAAAAATAAATGATGATGTGTGAGAAATAAGTAGAGACATGTAAAGAAAAAATTAGTGGTTTATTATTCAGTGATTGATATAAAAAATGTACATAGTTAGATGTTATTTCTATCTTGTTTGCTGTAAAAAATTAATCAATAAAATAAAGGAGGGAAAACTAGATAATGAAATATACGAGTCCTTATACAGGGTGCATTGCCAGATTTTTCAGCAAAAAAAATAAGCACCTTTTAAGCACTCAAAATTTTTTTTAAAACTTATTCCAAAAAATAAATCCTAATTAGGATCTATACAGTAGTAATTTTTTTTCTATCATTAAAATTTCTTAATTTAAAAATATAAAATTAAAAAAACACTACATAATCATGATAAAATAACTAGTTTCTGATAAATATTGCAGAGAAAATTCTGAAAATCATGTGTTTTTTGTTATTCAGAACAACAAATGACACAGCAAAGAAAAAAAATCTGATTTTAAAAGATAAAAAAATTAAGCACTTTTCACAAATTATGAATAAAAAAAGCACCTTTAAGAGCTTTTAAAAACGTAAATCTAAAATAAGTATTTTTTAAAAACACTACGCACCCTGTTATAGACAGTACATTTTTGAGTCGATGAACAATAAATTCCGAATTAAAATTCTTTTAGAGTGGCACTCATGTTATACGGTGACTATAAAAAAACATCTGCCTAAAGATATAAACTAAATAGTAAAAGTATAATTATTATCTTAAAAAAAAACCATTTAAAAGTAGCTCAAAAAGAGAGCTCAACTAAACAAAATTCAAAGGAAATTTACATGTTTTTCCTTCCATCTTTATTGAACTTCCATGCAATACATTCTCCATATTTAAACAAACATTCTATACATTCGACATATTTAAACAAACTATACTTACAGTTAAAGCTCTTGCAGTTTGGCCAAGATATTTACAAGCAGTATTTGCAACTGCAACAGCTTCTCTAGTTCTATGAAGTGCTAATAGGCAATCAACCATACCTGGAATTAGGAGAAAAATTTAATCGTAAAATACCTATTTTACAACTTGATTGATAAAAAATAGAAAATAAAAATAAAACACATGCTTCACAGAACATAAAATCTGTGTTAAGAATATAAAAGATAACTTCTGCATTATAAGAGTCTCTGTTAAAGCAGTAAATTTGGCAAGATGATAACATAGACTGTGTACTGCAAGGGTTAATCTAAATTTTTTGTTAAAAGGTCTAGTTTTAGTGAAAAAATCTGCTCATAATTTTCCAAATCAAAAGTAAACGAAGAATAGGGTTCTCTTTGGCAGGTTCTTGTTAACATGAAAATTTCAAACTAAAGCCATTTTGAAGATAAATAAATAAAATACAAAAAGTTTTTCAAAGAGTAAAATTATAAATAAAATATGTCATTTACACCAATTTTCATAGAACCATTCATTGCAAGCAATAGATTAGATAGAACAATTTTAAAAACCTTGAATGTGGGTCAACATAAAATATCAAATAATGATTTCAAACGTTCTCATTGTAGAAAAGTAAAGAATATGAAAATTAATAAATTAACAATAAGTATATTAAAAAAATGAATAAAATATTTACTTATTTAGAACTGAAAAAATATTTACAACCTTAAAAAAAAAGATGAATAAACATATTTGTTTATTTAAAATATTTATATGTACATAAAGTTTAGTTTTAACACACTCGGTGGTAATATGCAATGCAAAAATAAATTTGTCATTAGTGACAGATTGCTGTTTTTTTTTCCTTTATAAGAGTGAATATATAGGCATTACATTATAAACATATATAGAACATATGGCTTGTCTAAAGTAAGAACTCCCCCAGCCATTTGTTTGGACCCATGGCGGTGACTATGGTAATGAGGTATAATTATTTCAAGTAAGGGTGTGGGATCTAAGAGAAGCAACCCTCCCTGAAATGCGCTATTCTTGTTTCCATAGCAGACGGCCTAAGACTTAGTGGCAGGGGAGTTCTTACTGTAGACAAACTGCATATTATTAGCACGAACTCACCTTTATTAGCCTCATAACGATGTGGGGCTATTTTGAATGCATCGCAAAATTCATCCATTGCATCTTGATATTTTTTTAGTTCATACAACACCATTCCTTTTAATAGGAGACCTTCTACATAAAGAGGGTTGATTGTGCAAGCCTTAAAAAAATTATTTTCAAATATTACAAGAAGATATGAATGGTTATAAAACTATTTATAATCATGTAATATGTTTTTTGTCTTTTAAACTTCAAATAATTTTAAATTATAATAAAGTAGTTTTTTTTACAAAAGAAAAAAAAAATCATCCATAATTTAAATAATTTCAATTCACCAAATATTTAAACAGGGTGCATAGCCAGAATTTTCAGCCAAAAATAAGCCCCTTTTAAGTACTGAAAAAATATTTTTAAGTACTTTACAAAAAATAAATCCTAATTACGATCTGCAAAGTAATAAAAAAAAATTATATTGTTAAAATTTCTTAATTTAAAAACATAAAATCAATAAAATTCAAAAACATTACATAATTATGATAAAATAACTAGTTTCTGATAAATACTGCAGAGAAAATTGTCTAAACCATGCATTTTTTTTAATTTAGAACANTGTAATATGTTTTTTGTCTTTTAAACTTCAAATAATTTTAAATTATAATGAAGTAGTTTTTTTACAAAAGAAAAAAAAAAATTCATCAATAATTTAAATAATTTACATTCACCAAATATTTAAACAGGGTGCATAGCCAGATTTTTCAGCCAAAAAAAAGCACATTTTAAGTACTCAAAAAGTATTTTTAAGTACTTTCCAAAAAATAAATCTTAATTAGGATCTGTAAAGCAATAAAAAAAAATTTATATTGTTAAAATTTCTTAATTTAAAACCATAAAATAAATAAAATTCAAAAACATTACATAATCATGATAAAATAACTAGTTTCTGAAAAATACTGCAGAGAAGATTGTGAAAAACATGCATTTTTTGTTATTCAGAATAACAAATAACACACCAAAGAAAAAAATCTGTTTTTAAAAGATAGAAAATTAAGCACTTTTTCCAAATTCCGAATTAAAAAAAAACACCTTTAAGGGCTTTTAAAAAACGTAAATCAAAAATAAACACTTTTTAAACATGCTATGCACCCTATTAAATAAATAAAATTGTCAGAATACCTTGCACATATAAAATAATAGAAGAATCGTAATTAGGGCATTATTGTGTTAAGCCTTTATATAAAATATTTAATCAATATTTGATAATGGAGAAGAGGATTCAACAACGTGAGAAACATAATTAAATTATTGTTGGGCATTTTATTACAGAATCAAATATTTCAATGCTGATCCTTTACATAAATAAATTTTAATTGGAGCTATGAGTATAGCTTCCTGAACGATTTTATTTCAAAATTTTTCGAAAATAAAATAATTAAAAATACATTGTTTTCCTCCTTCTTGTTAAGTTCAAAACTTATTTCTAGCAAGATTTTAAGATCAGTGAAGTAAAAAAAGGAGAAAAAATGCTTTTTTTTAAAATAAATATTGCAGGTGAAAAATGTTATGTAGTAGAGGAAGATAGTGCAGAATATGTAAAAATTGTAGAAATTAGCAACAAAATAGGCTATGTTAACCTGCAAAGTCATACAAAAGCTAGAAATTACTTGTACTCTGCAATTACCACACAAGACAAATATGTGTATGGATAATTAAATTTTTAAACATAAACTTTCAAAGGGACAATAATAAGAATTTTTAAAAAATGTACACGATAAAGAGAAAAAGAAAATGCGAATTAATTAACCTTTTGAGCAAAATTAACAGCTTTTGTACCCTTCTTTGAGACAAAACAAAAATATCCCATGGCAATCCAGGGTTCAGGAACAGTATCATTAATGGATATTAACCGAGCTGTCAGGCTAAAATATAAGTTTGAAATGTGAATCAGAAATAACTTCTTCAATGTTTTTTAAATGCTAAATATAAACTTGCTGACAAATACCTCTCTAATTCTTTGACTTTCTTTTCTTTTGCTAATAGAGCAGCATAAATATCCATGCCTTTAATCAAAAGTTGATCAACTGAATGAGCCTAAGGAAAATGCAACATATAAACAAATAATGGTGATTATATAAAATATTAATTCTAAATTATACAGGCAATATTAGCAAATGACATTATATCTGAATGAAATTACTTTTCCTTGCAGGGCTTAAGTCAAAAGAAACAAGAATGTTAATTTATAATTCTGAATCCCATAATTGTTAAAAGTGTTTATTTAATGTCTGCAAGAATCCATAAATTATCTGCAAATATAAATTGAGGCATAAAAGAATTTAATTATTTTTAGTCAGTGTTAAAAAAAATCTACAAAAAAAAAACAGATATGTTGAAAAAAATGCAATTTTATTTAATGTTGTTTTATGCCACTAGTCATGTTGATCAGCCTATTTTAAGGCCAGCTCACGACCTTTTTGACATTACACATTATTCCAACGTCCTACCAACCAGGTTATCCTGGCAAATATTATTTAATAAAACTCATTAATTCAATTTTTCATGAGAGAAAAGATTTCCACATTATTTTTAAAATCTTAATGTTTTAATACAACATTATAACGTAATTTGAATTTCAATTCATGCATTTGATATCTCCAGTTGATTTGCTTGTTAGCGACTATTACAACATAAAGCCATGTGGTTTGTTAAACAATATTTTGGTACTCATTGCTACAGATTCCCATATCGTGTTTAAAATCTCAATGTTTTAATACAACACTTAAACATACTAAAAATTTTGGATCATAGATTTGAGTAATCACTTTTTGATCCTCTCGATTAATGACAATTCCACAGTGAATTGTTTTTTGTCTTGCCTTTATATTAGTTATTGCTTCGGATTTTCACATGGTTTTTAAAGTCTTGACTTTTCAAATGTTACATTGTGTTAGACAGGAAATTTGAACTGTGCATTTAAAGAAGCACATTTTGATGCAATTGCTTTGCAACAATTTTATTGCTAATGACGCTTTCTCATTCACATTTTCACCAGTTACTGTTATGGATTTCTAATTAATTTCTTTGCTAAGCTACANTTTAAAAAATAGAAGACGTTAAAAATGTATTATAATTAAAGAAATGATTTTTTTTCAAGAGTTTTTGTGTTTTTTTAGTTTTTAGAAATCTCACTTAACTTTTTGAAATCTCAGCCAGTTTTAAGAAAGGGTGAGAAATTCTCACCCATTTTTTTTCTATGATGAAAACACTGCAAGCATATGTTAAAAGTCAAAGGAAATAAGAATGTTAATTTATAACGCTAAATTCCATAATTGTTAAAAGTGCTTATTTAATGTCTGCATGTGAAACCATAAATTATCTACAAATATAAATTGAGACAGAAAAGAATTTCATTATTTTTAGTCACTGTTAAAAAAAAAACTACGAAATAAACAGATATGTTGAAAAGAAATATGCAATTTTATTTAATGTTGTTGTTGTCTTATGCCATTGTCATATTGACAAGCCTATTTAAAGGCCAATTAAGGTGCCAGCTAACGACCTTTTTGACAAGATCTCAATGCCCTACCAACCAGGTTATCCTGGCAAATATTATTTAATAAAACTCATTAATTCAATTTTTCATGAGAGAAAAGATTTCCACATTGTTTTTAAAATCTTAATGTCTTAATACGACTTTATAACGTAATTTGAATTTCTAATCATGCATTTGATATTCCCTATTGATTTGCTTGATTAGCGACTATTACACCATAAAGCCATGTGGTTTGTTAAACAATATTTCTGTAGTCATTGCTACAGATTTGCATATCGTGTTTAAAATTTCAATGTTCTAACACAGTGATTCTCAACCACTGTGCCGCGGCACTTTTGTGTGCCACCAAATTCTTAAAATGTGCCTCCAAATATTAGAAGAGATACAATAAAAATTATATAATTTTTTATTACGAGCAAAGTTTAAATTAAAGAAAAGTGTACAGATATATAATATTACATATATATAATATATATATATATAATAAGAAGGAAGTGTTTGAATTGTCTTTGACGTGCAATTTTAAAAAATGTTAAAATATGTAGGAAATTTAATGACTATTAAAATAATTAACAAAGGGTAAAACAAGCTAAATATTAACTTTCCAACGGAAATAAAAGCTAATCATTAAAGTAAGCTATGCAGTTAATCGTTATAAAAGCAAATTAACAAAGGATAACTAACAAAAAAGTAAGCTAACAATTAATAATTAGCAAAAAAAAAACAAATTAACAAGAAATCACAAAAAATAATAATTAATGTAAAAAAAAACTAACAAATAACAATTATAGAAAACAAGCTAACAATTAACAACTAGCACGAAAAAAATAAATAACTGTTACTAACGAATAAAAAATTAATGGAAAGAAATAATTAATCCCTTAATAAACATGCTTTTGTAGTACATATTACTTTATTTCACATTCAAAATTATTATCACAGACTATTTAACACAGTGTATAGGTAAATAAACAACTTTTGAACCATTTTTTTTTCATTGTGTGCCGCCAAATTTCGAAATCGTTATTTCGAAAAGTGTGTTACCACACAAAAAAGGTTGAGAATCACTGTTCTAACACATCACTAAAACGTACAGAAAAGTTTGGATCACAGATTTGAGTAATCACTTTTTGATCCACTCGATGAAGGAGAATTCCACAGTGAATCTGCATTTTTTTTTGTTTTTTGGTCTTGCCTTTTTATTAGTTATTGCTTCGGATTTTTACATGGTTTATTAAACCTTGACTTTTCAAATTTTACATTGAGTTAGACAGGGAATTTGAACTGTGCATTTAAAGAAGCACATTTTGATGCAATTGCTTTGCAACAATTTTATTGCTAATGACGCTTTCTCATTCACATTTTCAACAGTTACTGTTATGGATTTCTAATTAATTTCTTTGCTTAGCAACAATTTTATTGCTAATGACGCTTTCTCATTCACATTTTCAACAATTACTGTTATGGATTTCTAATTAATTTCTTTTCTAAGATAATACTATTATGATCCTTAAATTTGAATCACGCAGTTAAATAATCATTTTAGGACATGCTATATTAGTGACAATTTCAGCTGAAATATGAAGTTTTCATCAAAATGTGAGAATTTTCAGTTTTTGAAACCAAATGCGAGAATTTTCGGCGATAGTAACCTTTTTACACGAGAAAAGAATAAAAACACATATTTTTTTGAGCATTGTAAATGCAAAACTTCAAATTTCGCTTCCGTGATATGCATTTTCTATATCATATAATAGCTGAAATTAGATAAAAATCATACGGAAACTGAAAGTTTCCTATTCCTAGTATAAAGATCTACTACTTAAAATGCAATTTCCTTATTGTTGTACAATTTTTTAGAGGTTAAAAGAACAATGTTAAACTTCGAGAGAATAACTCTATCGTTAGGGTATTAGATAAGGTTTGAAATATTTTTATAAATTTAAAAGCAAAATAAGTACAATATAATTTTGTACTTGATCAAATACTTGAAAGTTCTATGTATCATTTTTGAAAAAATTATGAATTCACAAAGAAAAAACATTCAAAAGAATTTATTATAGTCTTATTTAACAATGAAATATAAATCAATCTTCATATGCATTATCACTTTTCAATTGTATTAATTTAATATTTTATTTTATACCTAATTGAAATTAGCTAATTACCATGATAAATATTAACATAATTATAAAATGATGAGTACTCACTCGCTCAAGCACAATCATAGCATTAGCATAATCTCCATTAATGTAATAAGCTTCACCAACAGATACAAGAACATCGACATTATCTCTTAAAGGAGTCTAAAATTACAGATACATTTTTCTTTTAAAAATTATAAACAGCTAATTCGTTAATTTTAAAAATGAAGGGCTTGGGGCCTTCGGATATAATGATAAGTCACATTTTTAAACAGCTCAGGAGAGTGTTTTTTCTTTTTTCTCTCTTTCAAACAGTTCAAGAGAACATTTATTGTGTACATTGACACAATTTCAATGTACACAATAAATGTTTCATTATTATGTGCTGCCATTTAGAAGAAATGCTGTAAAACACCTAGCGAGAACAATACTAAGGAATGTTTGGAAAATATGTTGCTAATCATTACATTGCCCTAAGCATTCCAAATAATAATTATCCCAATTTAAATCACCATAATTTATCAACATTTGACTTCCATACATTGTCTTTACGCTTTTATTTTGCATATTAAAAGCTAAAGTCAAGATGATCCAAAAGTAGTAGGTTTCCAAATGATTGTTGTCAAATAACTATTGTATGAAATTTTCCAATAAAATATATGATGTAAAAAAGATTTAGGTTGGTTGAATACAAAGTTTAAAGGTTCAAAAAAAAATTGAAGTGACAAATGAAGAGGAAAAATTTATACTTTGGGACTTATATTAACAGGAAGAAGTTAAACATATTATGATGGGATGAAGAAACTGCTGAAACATCAAAACCCTTAGACAATTTTTTTTAAATGGTTTTAAAAGGATTGAATTATAAATTAAATAAAATATATAATTATATATTGAATGAAGATAAAATGATGTTTAGTATAATGTAACAAAATACTTTTTTCAGTAATAAGTCTCCAAATACTACCTCAGGGTTGTCACTCAACTCTGGAAAAAAAAAATTCCCTGTGTTTTCTCTATACATATTATACACAATGCATTAAGAGGAAACAACAATTACTGTGTGAACTATATTGGGCTAACTATATTTATATAAGTTTTAATTGCTGGAAAAACAGCTGAACATACTTAAATAATGCTATAGTAATTGAAAGAGTTTAGTATAGCTGAAATATCATGGTTAAATATTCCAAACTTTACACTTTGAGTGGTCACCCTTTTTTAAAAAACAAAAATATGAAACAAAATTCCCTGTATTTTCAGTGTTTGTAAAGAAAAAATCAAAATTCCCTGCATTTTCCAGGTTTTCTCTGTGGAGCGACAATCCTGTACCTGCTATTTTTGGAAGCTCCTGCTTAATAATTTACAACATTCAATAATATGTTAAACAGTTTCACTGTTTATATAAAAAAAAGCTTAATGTATTTGTACAGAAATATTATATATATAAATTATACATAGATAAATAAAGCTTTTATTTTTATAAAATAAATATGCCTACCTTAATTTCCAATTGTTTGAAAGCTGCGATTCCTTGAGAAAGCTCACGTGCATACAGATGAGAATGAACTTTGATCCATGTAGACAACCTTAAAAACATATTGCAAGATATTAATCACAAATAAACAAGCTTCAACAATTGCACACAAAATTACTACAATTAATTGAATTGTAAATAAATTACTAAACCACAAATCTCATAATTCTATAAATAATAAGATTTTAATTCCTTAATGGTTTTTTAAAAAAAAACAAACAAATTTAATTAGACTTTTTCGTATTTTTGTAATAAAGGATAAGAACACAGTTAAAAAAATTCTTTAATAAATTATGTTTTTATAATTATAATCAGTGTTCCTTTCGAAAAAAAATAAATAAATAAAACTTCTAAAAACACAATATAAACATTCCAGTGGTTTGAGGGTATGGCAATCAGCAAGGAAAGGCATTCCCTCAGAATTTGTTAGTTTCAAATCATTTATAGCCTTTTAACATATATATGCCTAAGTTAACAAAAAATTGACAGAAGTCAACATACAAATTCCACCTCATTCCAAATTGAAGCATAGGGCTTCAATCATAGCTTTCCATCTCACTAAATTTGTGGTCAGATATTTTGCCTCTGTACATATTTTTCCTATTGTTTTCAATTTGTTTACAATCATTCCTCGCCAAGTATTTTTTAGGTCTTTTTCTTTTCTACTGCCCTGTAGGTTCCAATCAAAAACTAGGTTTTTACAGGTTTATGTAGAACATGACCAATCCATTTCCATTTACACTTTTTAATTTCCAGATAAATCGGATTCCGTTTTGCTTTTCTAAGGATTTCTGCATTACAAGGCTTATAGAACCACTTTATATGCAAGATTCTTCTTTAACAGTTGTTAATAAATACTTGAAGTTTTTTCATGTTATTTTTATTGCAGTGCCGTGTCTGAGATCCATATAGCAGGACAGATTTAACAATAGTCATGGAAAATACATATATTGTAATTTTTATATATATTTCTGATAATGTTTACAAAATATCCAGGAATTCCATAGTATTTCAACAGCTTCCAGAATATTTCTGTGTAAGCCTTTTTCAAATCTGTAAAATTTTGAGCATAATGTTGATTGCCATTCAACAGATTGTTCAACTATAATCCTTAATGTTGCAGTGTGGTCAGCACATGATCTGAAACCTGCTTGCTCTGGCAAATGTCAAAGTAACATTTATGTTATTTATTTAGTGAATTCATTTGAGTAAGTAAAGTAGACACTTAAATAAATAATTTTTTATAAAGGGCGAAAAAAAAAAGGAAATTGAAAAGCCAAATAACTGCTGAACTAGTTAACTTTTTTTTTTCCCTCAAAAAATACTTTTTTAACTACTTATATGCTTTTTCTAATTTAATTTTAAGGTCAAATACTTCAATTAGAAAAAAAAAACTTGGGATTTTTTTGGAATAAATGTCATCATCATAGTTGGCCAGACAGCCCAATGTGAGCCAATGCCTTCCTCTGAAGATTTCTCCACGACGACTTCCAATTTATCTTTGATCTCCAATTTTTTTCATTAATTGCGAGAAAATCAGACTCTGAGTCAGCCCATCTCAACCGCAGCCTTCCCCGCTTTCTTTTTCCAGTGGGTCTAAAAAGCAGTATCTTTTTTATTATGTTGTCGTCACTCATTCGAATCACGTGGGCGATCCAATGCTTGTTACGAAATCCTTAGAAGAAAAATCCCGGATGACTTCATGGAAACAATTTGGAATAAATGTTTCCCCTTTAAAAATAATTTTTAAACAAATTTTTTTTACTTAATTCATAAAAATTAATATGTAATTGAACTAATCTAATAAATCAAAATAAAATTTCATATTTAAAATAAGTCCATGCTTGTTATAAAAATAAAAAAAAACTTAATTTGTGAAAAGATAAATTTTTTGAGTAACATAATTTGTGAAAGGTCAATTATTACAGTAAAATAATTTGTGAAGGTTTTATTAGTGGACCCAAATATTTCTTAAATAGACCCATGATAATTGACTTCAACATTAATAAAATTTTGAAGCATAAAAACAATGAAAAAAAAGCTAAATATAAGCTAAGAAGAACATGAAATGAAAAACGAAAATTTATTATTTGATCTGAAACCACCACGAATTTGTTACAAAAACAAACATAAAAACTAATATATGTGACTAGGTTCATTTAAAATGTCTGAACAGTACCCACCAGTCTATATTAGCAGCACTCACAGAACCGCTTAACATTAAAGAGACAACTTCTGCACCTTTACCACCTAAAGACAACAAACCCAGCGCAGCTTCGATTGCAAAAGGGCACTCTCTAAAAATGAAAGAAAAAAATTAATCAGTAAGCAAAACACTACATTAAAAATAGTTTTTTCTTTAATAAATAGAACAGTAAAGAACTAATTTCTCAGAAACCACAAAAACAGATATTATTCATAATATATACATAGTGTAATAAATAAATACTAAATGAAAATTAAGAAAAACAATAAGTTTTATTTACTGCGCATAAGCTGAAAGTAAATAGAACTCATAAAGTAAGTTCAAAATGTAGAGAAAACATGGAGAAAGTTACAGAACAATGAAAACAGGGTGCATAGCCAAATCTTTGAATCAAAAATAAGCACTTTTTAAAAACTTTTCAAGCACTTTACAAAAATTTTCAAGGACTCAAAAAATTCATATTCAATCAATGATATTATTGAAAAACAAAAACTTTTTATAAACAGTTTTAGCGTTAAAAAAAAAAAACCAAAAAGAAACAGACGTAAATCGAAACAATCAGTACTTCCCCACATCACCGAGTGAATTCAACTTGACTCTGAACTCAGAACAAAAGTACCCTTACCCCCTACGTCAAAAAAGTGTTAGAAGTAAAACAAAATAAACAAGAATAAAATTAAAATAAATAAAAAAGAAAATCATTTCATAAGGATCTGATATTCTCTATCTGAATTGGAGCACTCGGGTTTCGGTTTCAAGTGTGCGCGGATGCGCAAGTCATAACGTGGGTACAACATGAAGCCCGCGTGAATGATTACGTTGCATACTCCCCATTTTTCGTGAAACGCATGGGATCCACCAGATATCACTGAAGGGAAAAAAAAATTATTCGGAAAAAAAGCACTTTTTAAAAACGCCAGCTGAAAAAAGCACATTTAAAAACGAAATCCCCCAAAAAGCACCTTTAAGTATTTTTTACAAACGCTACGCACCCTGATGGAGAAAGTTACAGAACAATGGAGAAAAAAAATCCCTAAAACAAAAGATATTAGCTCATACAATTATATTTTATTTGTTGTAAAATTTTTTTTAGTACTCCTCACACTATTGTATTGATATATTTTGCTTTGGCTATATTGAGGCAATATTAGAAAGCGCTCCCTTTTGTGGATATAATCCTGTGATCTAACGAAAAGATTATATCTTTTTTTTTTCACGGATTCTCCTCCCCCCTATTTTTTTTCATTGTTCTGTAATTTTTTCCATGTTTTCTCTACATTTTGAACTTATATTATG